ACTCTCCCAGGTTCGATTCCGGTCAAGGGCATGTACCTGGGTTGCGGGCACATCCCTAACATTGAGTGCAAACTGTAATTGAAAAAAAAGTGGGCCTTTCAGCTGCTCTGTGGGGACGTGGGCTCGGAATGAACCGGCCGGGATCGTTACACTAGCCCCCTCGTACTCTGTAGTCACTGCAGACTGGAGGTGAGGCCTCAGGTAGAGGCAGGTTACACATTACCGGTGACCTTCCGACTCTCACATCAAGAAGCCACCAGGATCTTCGCTCAATAAACCTTTACAAGACTTAGCAGAGGGTGGTTCACCGTCAATGAAAGGCTAACCCGGAGTCCAGAGGGCTGTGTCCTGGGCGGGTGCACTTGTCTCATGCGTGCGGAGACTCCGTGTTCTTCTATAAATTCATTTCGGGCTGTGTTGCCGGAATTGTGTGTGTGATAAGCAGTCTTCGTTATTTGCATGTTATTTCCTCGAGGGCTGACGAGTCATATGAGCAGAGCTAACTTGATATAAACACCTGAGAAGCTATGAGCTGACTTTAAAAATCAAATGCAGCCCTAGCCGGTTTGCTCAGTGGATAGAGCGTCGGCCTGCGGACTGAAGGGTCCCAGGTTCGATTCCGGTCAAGGGCACATGCCCAGGTTGCAGGCTTGATCCCCTGTGCAGTAGGCAGCTGATCAATGATTCTCTCTCATCATTAATGTTTCTATCTTTCTCCCTCTTCCTTCCTCTCTGAAATCAATAACAATATATTAAAAAAAAATCAAATACAGATCCCAACCGGCGTGGCTCAGTGGTTGAGCATCAACCTATGAACCAGGAGGTCAATGTTGGATTCCCAGTCAGGACACATGCCCGGGTTGCAGGCTCAATCCCCAGTGGGAGGCAACTGATCAATGAATCTCTCCCATCATTGATGTTTCTACATTAATAAGTGTATCAAACATGTGAGGCTACAGTTTGACACATTTAAAAAAATCAAATGCAGAAATGTTGGGATGCGATCCTCTCATGATGTCCATTTGAAGTTCGTGAGTTTAGGTAAATGCCAGGAGCAAGTGGGCATGAGGAGAACTCCATCGTGTGACTCCGAGGCCCAGGGGAGGCGGGCCCTGTGGTCAGATGGGCAGAGCCCGCTGCCAAGGTCAGCGCTCGGTGAACACGCCACCAGCCCCCGAGGGGCCTTCTCGCACGCAGTCGTGAGCTTCGAGTTTGCGTGTTTGCACCTGCCGTGGTCTCCACTGTCCCGTCTCCATGGAACTGAAGATGTTCTCTCAGTGAAGACCAGGGCCTCATCTGACAGCCCGGCCGGAGGATCGGGGGTGCCAGGGGCCGTGTCAGGACAAGGCACTGTCCTTGAAAGGGGGTGGCCCCAGCCTTCAGCCCTGCCACCCGTGTAGAGAGGGTGGGCTTGCTTCCCATTTCACTGGTTGTAGCGAGATGACTGGAAGGGGAGTACGTGTCCAAGGTTGTCTTTCTCCAAGAGGACCCCGTGCCACCTCCAGCTGCTTACCCTTCTCTGCAGCCCCAGTGGGCAAGGGGCCTCTGAGCCCCTCTCTGGAGCCCCCCTCCCCCCACCTCCCAGCTCCCATGTCTATCTTTTGGTCTTTGTATCTTAATAGCAAACATTCAGTAACAGCAGGGAAGACAGACAACATTAAGGCCGCGTGCCTTCCTGCAGGACAGCTCAGCTGGAGCGCACAGTGAGGGGGGGACTCTGCCGTGCGCTGAGAATGCTGCAGACACCAGGCGGCTGCCATCAGTAAGAAATTTATTTCTGAAACAATCCCAATGCTGGCACTGTCCAGAAAAAATGAACAGGTTTATTTATATTGTGATAAAGTGGAACCGCTGCAACTTGTTCCTGAAACAGTTTGACTTGCATTAATGCTTCATGTCCCCGCATTTATATTAAAAAATTCACACACAAATGAGAATGGAAAAACTGCCAATATCTGATTTCTGTCCCCTATTTTCCACTTGCAATCATATACTCAGGTACCTCTTGACCCCATGGAAAAAAATTGTGATGTTCAGAACTACCAATAACAAGAAGAGAAATATTTAAAAAAAATTTTTAAATTGATTTCAGAGAGGGAGAGAGAGCAATAGAACATCAATGCTGAAAGAGAATCATTGATTGGCTGTCTCCCATGCTGGGGATCAAGCTTGCAACCTGGGCACGTGCCCTGACCGGGAACGGAACAGTGACCTCTTGGTTCCTAGGTTGACGCTCAACCACTGAGCCACACCAGCCTGGTGAGAAATATACACTTTTTAAAGAATGAAATGTTCCCCTCACAGCGGATTCTGGAGCACTGCTCTGCGAACGTGGTGTGCTAGCTGGGTGTCTTTGGGGTAGTTGTTACCCGTTGGGGTGGATAGCACACAGGTTGGATCGTCCCAAAGGCCAAGCAGACGGGCCCTGCCTCCTGCAGAGCCCCACCGGCTGCAGACCTGGAAGGCAGACCTGGTTTGAAGTCCTGAGCAGTTTCTCACATCAGACGCTGGGAGGGAAGCTTGCAAAAAAGTGCAGTGTAATTTCACCCAGCGCCCAGGACCAGGCCTGTGAGGATGAGGTTTCCTCACCCCTCCAGTAGAGGGCGCACTCGCTCGCTCGAGCTACTGCCGGGGCTTGACCCCTGGTTGGTTTGGGCCTGCAGGGAGCCCTGGTAGAGACCCTGTACTTACCCTTCTCCTTTGGCGGGAGCCCCGAGCCGGAGGCGGCTGGTGTTCCAGCTCATGTCTCGCTGTCCTCTCAGACTTGTCTTCAGGTTACTCACCCTCCGCCCAGTTTCCTCAAGTCAGCAGAAGGCGGCCCTGCTCCTCCCAGCCCCCAGGGCGTCGCCTGGGCTCATCCTGCCCAGCCAGACCCGCCAGTCTCAGCAGCAACGGCTTCACTACCGCCTTCCTCAGCCACCGCCCTGGCTGGGTGCCGCATCCCCGGGAGGATGCAGCACGGTCCTCCCCCAGCCTCCAGCCGGTCTCATTGCTGGGCTCTCCCACTGCCAACTCGCCCAGCCCCTCCCCAGTGTCCACAGGGCACCCTTCTGTTCCACCTCAGCCCACCTTTCCAGAAGCCTTTTCCTTCTCCGCGTGGATAACAATAGAAACCCCTTGCCAGGCATTTTACAGCCACGTCTGCAACCTTTAAACTGCTGCAGCTTAGGTGTTACTGTCCCTTCTACAGATGAGGAAAACTGGGCCCAGACGGTCACACAGGTCACACCGCCTGTGAACAGCAGAGCTGGGGATGCAACCTGTGCCTGTCTCATCCCGCGTTTCCGCCCCCATCCGGCCCGGCCCTCCTCCGTGAGGAGCTGGTGCTCCCTGCCACCGCGCCCACCCTCTCCCCTCAGCTCCTTCACACCCGCAGCCCGCAGCCCGCAGCCCTGCCCCCTGGGCTCCAGCCACGCTGCTCGCCCTCAGCCCTTCTGGCAGGAAGCCCTGCCACAGCGCCCCCTGGGCTCCAGCCACAGGCCGCCTTGCCTGGCTCTCTGGTTGCTTCACATTTGCCTGTTTTGTTCCCAAGAAACCGGAAGTGTCTGAGTTCGGGCCGCCTTGCCTGGCTCTCTGGTTGCTTCACATTTGCCTGTTTTGTTCCCAAGAAACCGGAAGTGTCTGAGTTCGGGATGGCACTTCCACACACTCCTGTCCCCCAGGCCCGGCGAGCGGGGTGTGCCATGGTGCCATGCTCAGCGGGGCTGACCTGCTTTCCCAGGAAGGAGGCCGGCGATGCCCAATGCTGACGGGCTCCCCCTCCCCCCAGCAGCAAGCCTGAATCTCTGCGTGTACACACACACACACACACACACGCGCGCGCACACACACACACATGCACACACATGCACACATGCACACACGTGTTCTCTGTTTATACACACATTTAATCCAAAGTCTCCTTCCAGAGGAGGCAGTTCTATACGTGGAGCTACCTACCCAAGTGAGGGAACCCCTTGCTCCCTGAGCCCCGGGCGCTGCCCTCGCTGTGGAAATCCAATGGGTCAGTGAGGCGCAGAGATGCTGGGGGCCCCCGGGACCTGAGGCATGGCTGTCACACCCCCACGGAGCCAGAGCTGGACCGGCCACTTGGGGGCAGGGTAGTTGGTGTCTCAGTTCTAATTCTGGTCCTGCCTCTGGAGGGTCTGGGGACCCGCAGGGGGGAGGGGGGGGGGCTGTGAAAATGTCAGGTTGTGAGGAAGACTCCGCTCTCCAGAGCCCCGGGCACGGCTCCAAGGGAGTGAACAGCACCCCCGCCCACCCCCCTCCACCCCGAACTGCCCTGGCCCCACTTCCTGGGCTTCAAACCGTCTCTGCCCTGGTCCCGATGCCATGTCTGTCCCCCACCCGGTTCATCCTGGGGGCTGAATAGTGCATCACCAACTTCTCATCCCAGAGTGGGGAGAGGCGGGTCCAAGCCCAACACTTAGAATGTTCTCGGCTTCAGCGGATTTTTCCCTGGACGCCTTGGAGACAGCATGAAGGTTTGGGTTTGGTGAGAGGGTGGCAAAGGGTCAGTGGGTCAGTGAAGGGCCGGAGAGAAAAGGTGGTGAGGATGGAGCGGGCGATGGGTGGGCCTGAAGCTCAGCTTGTCTTCCTTCAGGATTCTGCCCGCAGCCAGGCCTGACAGGTGGACAAACACGTGACTGAGCACAGGGAGCTTATGTAAGAGGAACAATGAGAACCAGTGAGCAACACACCACGCACCACGGGGGTCTGGCAAAGCAGCGGGGAGGGGTCACGGTGGGGGCAGGGGTGGTGGGAGTGTCCCCCCCAAAGCAGAGCCAGCTGCCAGGCTGCAGTGGGAGGGGCCCGCCCCGGGAGGGAGCCAGCGTTGAATTCCTCGGCTGCCCCAGCCTCGTGGCCTCGCAGCCTGGGGGGGCGGCCCTCTGATACCATCACGGAAGTTTTGCAACTCAGTGCCCAGCCTTCTGGGCCAAGGGCTGAGCAGTGCCCGCCCCGTGGGCCCGGCCCTGCCTGGCAGCTGGCAGGCTCCCAGGCGCACCAGCCAGGCAGAGGCCAGGACTCTGCCGGAGATGAAGTAGCCGCGCCATGAAACCAGGGGGCCTGGGCACCTGCTCACACCTGGGCCTCCTTCGCCCCGTCCTGGCTCAGAGCAGCGCAGCAGGCCCAGGCGCGCCACCCAGGGGGCCCCGCCGCCCGGAGAGCCGCCCCATTCCAGGCGCGGGGCCGGCAGGGAAGCTTGGCAGCCGGTTCCCACGGCAGGGCCGCCCCGGCTCGGGCTCGGGCAGGCCAGCTGAGGGGTGCCTCCTCCCCACCCGGAGCCCCAGGCTGAGGAGATGGAAGAACAGGTGTTCAAGGGGGACCCGGACACCCCTCACTCCATCTCCTTCTCGGGCAGCGGCTTCCTCTCCTACTACCAGGCTGGGGCGGTGGACGCCCTGCGGGACCTGGCCCCCCGGATGCTGGAGACCGCCCATCGCTTCGCCGGGACGTCGGCGGGCGCCGTGATTGCCGATCCTGATCATCTGCGGCAAGAGATGGGTAAGGCAGCG